GAACTATGTAATTGTATCGCGGTGCACTCTTTTCCTTGACTGATCTTTTTCCCTCTTGTAAAAATGTGAAAAGAGGTTTTTGATTAGCAAGGTTTTTAACGAGGCATCCTCTTATCAATGAAGATACATTTCACACATAATTATTTCCACTTATTTTTACAAGTCTTCCCTCCCGAGAAGTCTCTCGGCTAAGGATGTGGCTTATGTTTAATTACAAGTCTTCCCTCCCGAGAAGTCTCTCGGCTAAGGATGTGGCTTATGTTTAATTACAAGTCTTCCCTCCCGAGAAGTCTCTCGGCTAAGGATGTGGCTTATGTTTAATTACAAGTCTTCCCTCCCGAGAAGTCTCTCGGCTAAGGATGTGGCTTATGTTTAATTACAAGTCTTCCCTCCCGAGAAGTCGTGGAGCACCCTCAGTCAAACGGCCAAGCCGAAGCAGCCAACAAGGTTATCCTGACCGAATTAAAAAGAAGACTCGGCTCGGCAAAAGGAGTGTGGGCCGATGAATTGCCAGAGGTTCTCTGGGCGTACCGGTGTACACCACAATCCACTAATAGAGAAACACCCTTCCGCCTCACATACGGCACTGATGCGATGATCCCGGTTGAGGTTGGAGAACCATCTTTCCGGCGACAAAGCTTTCAGGAGGAATCTAACGACGACGCACTCCGAGCCGAACTCGATGTCCTCGAGGAAGTGCGGGACAAGGCACAGGTGGTGGCCGAGGCATGCAAACAGCGAATGACTCGGCGCTTTAATTCCAATCTAAAGCCGAGAACTTTTCACGAGGGCGACCTTGTGTGGCGTGCAACGGGGGCAGCCAGGTGTAATTCTTCTGAAGGAAAGCTCTCTGCCAATTGGGATGGACCATTCCGGATACGACATGCACTCCACAATGGGGCATACAAGCTAGAAGAGCTGTCCGGCAAGGTTATTCCAAGAACTTGGAATTCTACCCACCTAAAGACATACTACAGTTAAATTCGAATTTGTAATACCTAAACTATGTAATTGTATCGCGGTGCACTCTTTTCCTTGACTGATCTTTTTCCCTCTTGTAAAAATGTGAAAAGAGGTTTTTGATTAGCAAGGTTTTTAACGAGGCATCCTCTTATCAATGAA